CTCTCTCTCTCTCTCTCTCTCTCTCTCTCTCTCTCTCTCTCTGTCTCTCTCTCAAAATAAATAAAATTTAAAAAATTTGTAGATTCTACTTTGATTACTGAAACTATGATTAGATTTTAAAGGTATTCTTGAATATGTTAAGTCTTTCATTTTATACTATTTTTTGTTCAGCATAACATAGAGTTTTAAGTAAAATAAGAATTAATGGTTTTATATGTATTACCTACATTTGTGTGAGTTTAATTATTACTTTTTATTGAGGCATAGGTGACACATAGTTACATTAACTTCAGGTGTACAACATAGTGACTGGACCACTCCATACGTTATGCTGTGCTCCACACAAGTGTAGTTACCATCTGTCACCATACCACACTGTTACAATACCATTGACTATATTCCCTATGCTGTACCTTTCATCCTGTGACTTATTTGTTCCATAACTGGAAGTATGTATCTCCCACTCTCCTTTACCCATTTTGCCCAATCTTTTACCCCACCCCCCTCTGTATTTATGGGTCCGTTTCTGTTTGTTTGTTTGTGTGTTCATTTGTTTTGTTTTTTAGATTCTACATATAAGTGAAATCATATGGTATTTTTCTTTGTCTCCCCTATTTCACTTAGCATAATACCCTCTAGGTCCATCTATACTGAAACAAATGGCAAGATTTCTCTCTCTCTTTCTTTTTTTAAGGCTGAGTAATATTCCATTGCATAAATATACCACATCTTTTTTATCTGTTCATCTATTGATGGACACATCTTGGCTGTTGTGAATAATGCTGCAATAGCATAGGGGGTGCAAATATCCCTTCAACTTAGTGTTTTTGTTTTCTTTGGGTAAATACCCAGGAGTGGAATTACTGGATCATAAGTTATTTCTATTTTTAATTTTTTGAGGAACCTCCATACTGTCTTCCACAGTGGCTGTATCAATTTACATCTCTACCAACAATGCACAAGGGCTCCTTTTTCTTCACATTCTTGCCAACATGTGTTATTTCTTGTCTCTTTGATTTTAGCCATTCTGAGAGGTGTGAGGGGATATCTCATTGTGGTTTTGGCATGCATTTCCATAATGATTAGTGATGTTGAGCATCTTTTCATGTGTCTGTTGGCCATCTGTATGTCTTTGGAAAAATGTCTATTCAGGTCCTCTGCTGATTTTTTAATAGGATTGTTCGGGTTTTTTGGTGTTAAATTGTATAAGTTTTTTATATATTTTGGATATTGCCTCCTTATTAGATACATCATTTGTAAATACCTTCTCCCATTTTAAGAAAGGCTGCTTTTTCATTTTGTTGATGGCTTCCTTTGCTGTGCAAAAGCTTCTTACTTGTACAAGTTTAATCACTGATTACAATAAATATTACATAGCCCAGTTCCATACAATGAGATTCTAGATCTTGAAGCAAAACTGTTCAATCAGACTCTTTACTTTTCATGGGTTACCTGAGAGGAAGGCCTTATCTTGCTTTATCTGTGGATATATAAATACCTCTGGTCCAAAGATTTGCTGTAAGAGTAGTAATCTGTTTCCAAGTTCAATTGCAAATTGTTTTTGCACAATTTAGTAGTTGATAAGTTAGATCAGGGAATTTTCTCCAATACTCTCTGTATCTGTCTTGTACAATATGGTAGCCAGTAGCCATCATATTGCTACTGACCGCTTGAGATATGGCTAGTGCCTTTGAGGAATTGAATTTATGAATTAAATAGCTACATGTAGCTACTGGCAACTGTATTGGGCATCATAGTTCTATATTATTACAAGGGATTCATGCATGAGAAATGCCTCAAAGGGCTCACTTTTCTTTTCATTATTTTTTTTAAAGTTTATTTTTTGAGAGAGAGACAGAGAGAGAAAGAAAGACAGAGCACAAGCAAAGGAGGGACGTAAAGAGAGAGGGAGATACAGAATCTGAAGCAGGCTCCGGGCTCTGAATGGTCAGCGCAGAGCCTGATGCAGGGCTTGAACCCATGAAACATGAAATCATGACCTGAGCCGAAGTTGGATGTTAAACCGACTGAGCTACCCAGGTGCCCCAAATGGTTCAGTTTCTAACAGAACAGCTGATATTTTAAAATGTTTTTTGATATAGAGTTCCACTTTAATGTCCAGAATTATCAAGAATATGTGCCTAGAAGTGGTTGTATTTTGAGTATGTGTTGATTGAGAAAATGTACAATAAAAAAGTTAATAAATACTTTAGCAAGGATTTTAAATGAATTTAAACTTTATTTTTGATAACAGTATCTACAGTATCCTGGGAGCAAGTAGTCTAGATATGGGGAAGATATATGACTGGTTCCATAGGTAGACATATATGATTAGTGCCTGGATAGATGTAAGGAACTCATAGAATAATGTCTGCATTCACAAGTTGGAAAACATTGTTCTAGAATTAAAAGATGAGAGGTAAATTAAAGATAATTAAAAGATAAAAATAGTAAGAAGAAAAATTCATTGAAATTGTGTTAATACCTCATAACCAGTTAAGAAGCACCAAAGGCTGAAAGGCTATCTGGGCCTCAGGTATTTTGTGTGCATACTAAAATGTGTGACATTTGTTTTAATTATGGTGATTATCTACCTGGTTTCAGATCTTAAAATTCTACTGCGTAAGGATCTTTTTATTTACAAAAACAAAATTTATCTTTAATGCTTTTTTAAAACCTAAAAATTAAAAAAATAGAGACTCTCAGTGATTTGCGTTAGAAGTCATGTCCAATGGTTTGTCAATAGTTGTAGAATAGTTTGATTTAAAAATTAATACTTATTGGTGGCTCAGTTGGTTAAGTGTCCAACTTGGCTCAGGTCATGAGTTCGAGCCCCGCATCAGGTTCTCTGCAGTCAGCACAGAGCCTGCTTTGGATCCTCTGTTCCTCTCTCTGTGCTCCTCCCCCACTTTCATTCTCTTTCTCTCTCAAAATAAATAAACATTAAAAAGTTAATACTTATTTTGTCATTAGATACAAAAAGATGTCCTTCATGATATAACTGAACGGCCCTCCCCTGCTTCTTTCCCTTGTTCCATTTCTGTTGGAGGTACTGCATATCATAGCCATGGGCAAAGGCTAAAGATAGGGTTATGTAGTAGCTATCCCCCAGCAACCCACCCACTTAAACCTACAATCTAAATGAAAACAGTATCTTGTCACTAGTAGGAATTTATCCAAAGGATACAGGAGTGCAGATTCCAAGGGGCACATGTACCCCAATGTTTATAGCAACACTTTCAACAATAGCCAAATTATGGAAAGAACCTAAATGTCCATCAACTGATGAATGGATAAAAAAGATGCGGTTTATATATACAATGGAATACTACTTGGCAATGAGAAAGAATGAGATCCTGCCATTTGTAGCAACGTGGATGGAACTGGAGGGTATTATGCAAAGTGAAATAAGTCAGTCAAAGAAAGACAGATATCATATGTTTTCACTCATATGTGGAACTTGAGAAAGTTAACAGAAGACCATGGGGGAAGGGAAGGTGAAAAAATAGTTACAAATAGAGAGGGAGGGAGGCAAACCATAAGAGACTCTTAAATACAGAGAACAAACTGAGGGTTGATGGGGGTGGAGTGGGGGAGAGGGGAAAACGGGTGATAGGCACTGAGGAGGGCACTTGTTGGGATGAGCACTGGGTGTTGCTTGTAAGTGATGAATCAATGGGAATCTAGCCCCAAAACCAAGAACACACTGTATACAGTAACCAACTGCAGCCAACTTGACAATAAATTATATTAAAACAACAACAACAACAACAACAACAACAACAACAACAACAGTGTGCTGTTACTACAACATGAAGATAAATCTCCTGACATCTCAGATCACCACCCTAAAACCCTTAAGTTTAGAAGTTCTGCATCTCCCACTGCTTGGCAGAAAGGGAAAACAATTTCAGGCTGTATAATCATTGTCTGCATAATTAAATACCAACTTCATGGTATGGATTTAGAGAAGAATATATTTTGTGATTCTCAGGCAACCTGGTTTTAGGATGGTTCTATTCTCAAAAGATATAAATGGCAATGGGAAAAGCATTCCTTTTTAAGCCTGAAGCAAACCCTGAGATATTGAAAAGAGAATGAAATGTTAAACAACCTTATATTATGAGTTAGTTTCAAATAATATGCTTATTAGTTCATATTCTCAAACATTGACATATTCCATAATCCCACCAGCTCTTAAGATATTCAAGTTATTGCTCTAATGATGGCATTAAAAACAATCTCATGGGCAGTAAACCTTGACATCCTGAACAAATATGCTGTTCTTCAGAATAGTAGCACACATCTGCCTGGAGAAAGTAATCGCAATGCAGGGAACAATCCCATGTTCTGCTCTATCACTTAACGATCAATTATGTTTCATCAAGTAATTCGCAAGACATATTAGGTCATTCCAGGAGCAACACAACTGCTAACCTCTCCATGGCCTTGCTGGCATGGTTAATAAATCTGAGCAATACACGGGCCATTTGCTGAAAATATATATAGTCGGGAGGGGGGAACATTTGCCCAAATCCAAGACTGTACATTAAGTTCCAATTTCATTTTTTTACAAACAAAACAAATCAGAAGCTCTACTAAGCACTGAAGCACAAAGACTGGAAAATGACCCGGCAAGCGCTTACAGTGACAGATGTTGCCATCAACCTATTACATTGACATTCACCTGAATGAGGTTGGCAGCTGGGTTCCTTCTTTTCTCAAAGTGTTTCTGGCGGTGCTGTTCTTGTACTTTTAATGCAAAACCCGAGCCAAGAATGCCCTGGAACAAAATACAAAAATAGTTCTTAAATTTTTTTCAAAAGGACTGTTAAGCAATATAAATATTAAAAAAAAAAAACCTCAAATGAGTCTAAGGAAAGACAAACACTATTCAACCTGTTCGTAAACATATTACTTATTAAAACAAACAGTATTTACCTCTTGTATGATACCACTGGCAATGGCAAGTTGTGGGGCAAGACTGCCAAGAAATGTAACAACTTTTGTTCTTTAGTAAATCAACCAGGCAATGCCATTTATTATTTCTTACAGTATGGTAAGAGGCATTACAATTACAAATAAAAATCACAATTTTTAAAAATGTTTTTTGTGTGACCTTCTCTGTGACACTTCTTTATATGTTAGAGGAAATTCCCCATTTGGAATTAGGGGATGTGATAGAATTCAGAGGCTAGGAATTCTGGTTTTGGGCAGAGGTGGATTTAAAATTTGGGACAGTTTGAAGTCTCACTACTGTGGACATGGGAGTTTTTCTAGCACTTTGATGATACTATGAAATTTTATATTTTCCATTCTTGAAATGGTGGGGTATTTTTAAAATCTGTCCCAGCTTAATTCTCTACGATGCTATAATTCTACGCCTACCCAAGTAGAGTGAAAGGGGTGGGGGGAGATAGTTATCCAGACACTCAGTTTTGAAGACAAAGTTTTCCATTTTGCCTGTTTATACAACAAAGACAAGAGCTCGGGTTATTGCTAAGAACATTTCTACTTCCCTGAGTTTTAATCTCACACTTTTAGCATTCCTTACCTTTCTGGTTTTAGCTCACTTTTTCAGATTTTGGAGTTAGTCAGACTAGAATGTGTCTCCTATGTTTATATTAGTACTTTTGGCTGGTTTGCCTCCTTCTGCTTATCATTTTGATCTGCTAGAATCCTGGCTCTTTGAAATGCCTCCCTCTTTTCAGTTTGCTCTGGTCTAACATTTGTGGAATCAAGATGCTTTGTTTCAGTCTTGGGCTGGCTTTTGGAGCTTGCTAAATTCAGTCTCTAGGCTTTGTTCATAAGTTTCCACTTTATTGGCATGGGACGTGGATCTCTACTGCTTTCAAGTCTGTGGCTTTTACTTGCTAGCTATAAATTATTACCTTTTTATTAAACTTCAAGGAGTCTAACTCTTAAGCTAGAGATGAATGTCTTATAAGCACTGGGTCAGTATTTGCTGTAGATAGGGAATGGTTGTTTTTCTTTTCATATATATATGTTTACTTATTCATTTTGCAAGAGAGAGAAGGGGAGGAGGGGCAGAGAGAGAGAGAGAGGGAGAGAGAAACCCAAGCAGGTTCCGCGCTATCAGTGAGATCATGAACTCATGAACCGTGAGATCATGAGCTGAGCCAAAATTGAATGCTCAACCAAATAAGCCACCCAGGCACCCCATCTTTTATTTATATTTTCAAAGTAGCTCAAAGATGGTATAAGCTACCTAGGCAAGTGGTGAGTTTCTCATCTTTAGAAGGTGTTGAGTCTCGGCTGGATGACAATTTGACCAAGATATATCTGGGCTCTAGATCACCTTTAATGTCCCCTTCTTATCTTACATATTACAATTCTGAGCACATCTGTGACAATAGCCAGGTAATCAGTAATACAATTATGTTTATTTATTTATTTTTTTTTTAAATTTTTTTTTCAACGTTTTTTTTTTTTTATTTATTTATGGGACAGACAGAGACAGAGCATGAACGGGGGAGGGGCAGAGAGAGAGGGAGACACAGAATCGGAAACAGGCTCCAGGCTCTGAGCCATCAGCCCAGAGCCTGACGCGGGGCTCGAACTCACGGACCGTGAGATCGTGACCTGGCTGAAGTCGGACGCTTAACTGACTGCGCCACCCAGGCGCCCCTATACAATTATGTTTAAAATACAGTTACATGATAATACTGCTTGCTATTAGTGAGCAATAATCTCCATTATTAATTAGGATGAATGACTGTACCGTGAAATTAGAAATTACATTATAGGTTCTGTTTTCCATCTGCCTTTTTTTTGTGATTGTCTCATGCTGTCTAAGATCTTCATTAGGCTGAGGATGCACAAACCAAACTTCGTGCAAACTTAAAAACCTGGTCCGTATGGTCTTGTTTGTCAATTTAAACAACATTTCCCTCCATGTAGAGGTTATAAAAATGGCCTTCCAACTCTCGTCACTCATAACTCCTAAATTTTTTACTGCTATTTGAAGTGACTTAGGAAAGATTTATTTATTTTCCTTTTAATGTTATTTTTCATGAAGCACATACATGTAAGAAAATAGAAGGCATTAGAGTATATTACATATTTGTTATATGTATTGTGTGTACATACATTACATGCATAGGGCACACAATCCACTCATGGAGCATAATTCAGATTTTGTAGACATTAAATTAACAGTAATAGCTACCATTTTTTGGTATTTATTATGTGCAAATGAGGTTTAAATGTAAATCCCTTTTGGAAAATAAAGACAGGCCTAGCACAAACTCAGCATTTGCCAAACAAACTAAAATGTGCTAAAAATCACACTGGCATTGCTTAGAAATATATATTAGTAGTTGGCAAATGTTTGCTACATATCTCTTGTGCCAGATTGTACATTACAACAGTTATTAAACCAGGTCTGCTCATTGTCTCATTATGGCTCCATTCCAATTTTCTTCCACCTCTCTACACAGCTCAGTGAACTTCAGTAAGTCTGTTAAAATAAAGTTCATTATGTTATATATATATATACACACACATATATATGTATACATATATAAAACTTATGGGACATATATAAATATATATCTATAACTTATGGGATATATATATGTTACCTTGTATATAATCCATGTGCCATGCCTTCAAATAGCAACATCAATAAAATGAAACTTCATAGAAATTGACTTCTGTTGGGGTGCCTGAGTGGCTCAGTTGGTTAAGCGTCTGACTTCGGCTCAGGTCATGATCTCATGGTTTGTGAGTTTGAGCCCCGTGTCGGGCTCTAATGCTGACAGCTCAGAGCCTAGAGCCTGCTTCGGATCCTGTGTCTTCCTCTCTCTCTGTCCCTTCCCCACCCATTCTCTCTCTCTCTCAAAAATAAATTAACATTAAAATTTAAAAAAAAAAATTGACTTTTGTTTTCATTCATTGCCTAAGATCACATGACTTAAATTTTTAGGTTTTATGTTTTAGTGCTATGTTGAGAAGTATTACATAAACATCAAGTACAAAGAAAATATGTTTTGGTAAACATTTAAGTATCTATCCCTTTTTATCTCCCAGATTAAAGGAGCTTAATGTAGTGCAGAAGGACAGGCTACACTGAAAGATACACTTAGCAGGAAGGAAGGGAGTGTTCCAAAGAAGGGAAAGGCCTGCACCTTAGGGCGATGCTGAGGAGCTGACTGCTTCTGTCTGCTCATTAGCTTAGGGATGCTGTGGGCCTCAAGGAAAGTGATCTTCCAGTGGAGTTTGGAAGGGTAGTTATATGGCTCTATGATATGCAGAAGAGTCCTTCTGCTTTGAAGAAAGATGGGGAAAGGCTCTTCTCTTTCTTGGTCCTTGGTTTCCTGGGTGGGAGGAAATCCAACCAGGGATGGCTCACGTCTCACCTCTAAGTTTCCTAGCAAAATGTGCTCTCCTAAATCTCAATCATATAACACTGTTGCCAGCAGGCACACAAGACATAATGGTATTTCCAGCCACTTTTTTTTAATTTTTTTTTTCAACGTTTATTTATTTTTGGGACAGAGAGAGACAGAGCATGAATGGGGGAGGGGCAGAGAGAGAGGGAGACACAGAATCGGAAACAGGCTCCAGGCTCTGAGCCATCAGCCCAGAGCCCGAAGCGGGGCTCGAACTCACGGACCGCGAGATCGTGACCTGGTTGAAGTCGGACACTCAACCGACTGCGCCACCCAGGCGCCCCTCCAGCCACTTTTTTTAAAGGTGTATATGGACCATTTAGTTTTTTCTTTTTTAAAGGTATATATGGACCATTTAGTCTTTCATTCAGTAAATATGAGGTTGCAATAAAAGATATATGGTAAGCCAACGTTTCTTGGAATTGTTAGGGAGTGTTCTGTGCAAGCAAGTTTCTCAGATTTCCAATACATATATATATTTTTAACGTTTTATTTATTTTTGAGAGAGACAGAGTGCAAGTTGGGGAGGGGCAGAGAGAGGGAGACACAGAATCTGAAGCAGGCTCCAGGCTCTGAGCTGTCAGCACAGAGCCCGACATGGGGCTCGAACCCACGAACCGTGAGATCATGACCTGAGCTGAAGTCAGACACTTAACTGACGGAGCCACACAGGCACCCCCCCTTTTTTAACATTTTATTTAGATTTCCAACACATATTAATTTAATTTGCATATCTGAAAATTGTAATCACTTTATTGGGAAACATTTCCCAGCATAACAACTTAGTGTCTGACCTCTAACCTAACAGAATAACACAATTTAACCTTCCTGTGATAGTCCAGAGTTTCCTTATGGGGACTGGTATTTTGCTGTGCTGGATACGGCCAGTTTCCAGAGATGGGTTGACCCTAACACTAATGGGCCCCAGGTCCTTACAGATTTTGAACACTCGTGTTTGCTTGCTTCTTACAAATATTTTCCCCTTCCTTTGTTGTTAGTTTTCCACCATCTCTTCCCATTATACTGTTTGTTCAATCAGTGGACCTCTGCCTTTGCTGTTTATAATCTTCAGAGAATTGTAAAACTATGTAGCTCAGCTTATCAGAATTTTCTCTAAATTAAGAACAGGTTATGATTTAGGTTTCAAGAGGCTCTCCTATGAGGACAACACATACACTGTTGTCAATTTTAATAGCCCAGAAGTTGCCTGCTTCTTTGTTTACAGTTTTTCACTGGATCACACAGGTTGTTTTATATGTGGTCTCAGGATAAGTATAGACACTAAAGCAGCAGTATTTTGGTAAAAAAACCCAAGAACGTATTTATTGTTTCTAAAGGTATTTTCATGTGGGGAATTTGATTACTGAATGAGTCTCTGCTCTGTTATGGATTGTTGAGTTTGCCAGATGAGTTGATTCTGGATAAGTGAGATTTTTTTTGACTCTCCTTGATTTTGTCATTTCACAACAGAAAACAATACATCTAGATTCATACATAAAAGGGGAGACAAAATTCATGAAGGTTTTCTACATGGCAAGCATTAGACTTATATCACCATGTTGCTCTTGACAAAATTTCTGTGGGTGCAATAATTCTTCTTCTATTATATAGATCAAGAAACATACCCCATGTTACTATTATTGGCTGAACTGTATCCCTCTGAAATTCCTATGCTGGAATCCTAATCCCCAGTACTTTAGAATGTGACTTTATTTGGAGATAAGGTCTTTACAGAAGTAATCAAGTTACAATGAAGTCATTAGGATGAGCCCTAATATGATATGACTGGTGTCTTTATGAGAGGAAGTTTGGACATAGACATGTACAGAGGGAAGACAATGTGAGGATACAGGGAGAAGACTGCTATCCGTGAACCAAGGAAAGATGTCTGGAACAGATCCTTCTCTCATGCTCCTCAACAAGAACCAACCTTGCTTGCCCCTTGATTTTGGACTTCTAGATTCCAGAACTGTGAGACAATAAATTTCTGCTGTTTAAGTCACTCAACCTGTGATGTCTTTATAGCGGCCCTGGCAAACTAATATAGTCGCATGGGTGTACGTGACAAAACCAGGTAGTATGTGGCTTTAAATCCAAGCCAAGATCTAATGCTCAAGTGTATGCATAGTCTTTTCGGTGTCTTCTCTGTGGTCTCGTATGGTCTGGGGCAGAACCAGCCAGTCAATCTGAAGTTGGGGTCTGGCCATGGGAACGACATGAGTGTCCTCTGCACTCATTCACAGGCAGAGATGAAGCCCTGTGAGCCAAAGGCTGGGATGCTGAAAATCCCTAATCCCTTGGCTTCCTGTGGAGGGATGCTCTGGGGTCTCTGCTCAGCAGAGACCGTGATGCCACTCACGGATAAGTACAGAGCAAGAGTGTCTGGAGCAAGAGTGAAGTTATTGTTCCTTAAGCATGCCTGCTGCTACACTGTAACCCTCCTTTTTGTTGGCTCTCTTCCCCTACAAGAGGTGGAGTGAGCAAAGTGAGAATTTGGGGATGGAGGCAAATTGTAATATTTTGACCAGCTGCCTTTGCAAAAACAAGAGGATAAAATGATCAGAGAGTAAGCATCATCCATTAAGGAGAAAATAATCAGAGGCTTGGGAGAAGATAAATGTGCTCTTCATTCTGATCAGATGCAGAAGCTGTTCACTAAGAAAAATCAGTGATGGTGACAGAAAGAATAAATCGTCTGACACACTGAAACCCTTTAAGGTCATATGCTTTTCACTCAAATGGATCTGAAGAGGTAATATTCCACTTATCACATCCAGCTCTTAAGCAGCACATGTTATAAGCCAAATCGGAGAGATCAGTTTAAAAAGAAGATATCTTTAAATCTTTCTACATATTTTAAATGTATTAGTAGCACATTGAATGAGAGGTGATGCCATCTGAATTATTATTTGGTCATAAAGACCAAAGGGCATAAAACTCTCAGGTTAAGTATCTCCAAGGGAAGACCATATTTCACAAATTTTCCAACTAGATGTATGTATAAAAGTCAACATTATATTAATAAAATTATATCTGTAGCGATATAGATACGTTCTGGGCAAACCAATTTGTGAAAGCTCATGCTAATAAACCTCTAAGATCTAATTGAAACTGTTTTATTTCTGCAAAGATACTCACGGCAGGAAGTGCAAAGAAAGAAATGCCAAGGAGTGCAAAGCCTGCAGAAAGCAATCTTCCCAGCCAAGTTAGGGGAGTTTTGTCTCCATAGCCAATCGTTGTCAATGTAATCTAAAAACAAAATAAATAGAACGTGCAGCTTAAGTACTTGAGAGGAAAGTTAGGACCTATGAACAGGAGGCAAAGCAACGTTTCCACTAAATCATTATTCAACAAGCCTTGTTGGCGCATTTTATTACTGTGCTTTAATTTTCCGTGACGCATAACAGAGCTTCTCTTTGTTTAAGGAAGGGAATAACCTACATACTTGTTCCTCCCTTATAACACAATTTTCCATCTTTTCTAAGTGTTTCCAAGGAAAGGTTATTTAAATAAGCGGATAACCATCAGAGATACAGAAATGATAGCACCATGGATTTAGGACTGGATCAGTACACAAAACAATAATTTATGTTAATTAAGGCTGTCTATTTATTACCTTGGCAGGCATTTCCTGGAGGTCTGGTGTGTGCAAGGTACGTGTTATGATTTGTAGTGGAACAAAAATTAGAGGTACGTAGTTCTTGTCCTAAGATATTTACGGCACAAGAGGGGAGACACGTCACACACAAATCATTAAAACACGAAATAGGGCAAGACAGCTACTATGATGGATGCACAAATAATCTGCTAAGCGGATTCAAAGAACAGATTGATTGTTTCCAGCTTGGAGGGGGTGGGGGAGGCGGTCAAGGAGGCTTTGAAGGAGAAGCAATATTTTGCAAGGCAAAAATGATAAAGAGGGTGATCTAGGGTGGGAAACAGGTGACCAGCTGCACAGCAGTGAGAACAAATATGGTAGGTTCTAGAAAGCATAAGTTGTTTAGTTGGGTTGGAGCATGGTGGGTCTTAAGAGGATTAGCGGAAGAGGAGATTAACTAAATATGCTATTGCTAGGCCAGGGAGTGTCTTTGAAAAACGATATTTGGATCATGTCTCTCCCATGATCAGACTGCTCCAGGATCTTCCCATGCTTCTTAGAACAAAGTCCCAGCTCCTTTCCAGGGCCCATGAGGTTGTGCACGATCTGGAAGAATGATGGCGCAAGTGAACTGGAACAGTGGCAACGAGGCTGTATGGGAGTGCAAAGTAAAGAGACGTGCTTATGAAGTTCAATAGAAATGCATTTGTTAATCATCTGGGATGAAGGGGAAGACTAAGTCAACTAGGACTTAAAAATTTTAAGAAGACAGCTCCAGTATAAATAGAAATATGATGAGAAAAATAAGATTTTGGAGCAAAGATAGAGAGTTTGGTTTTGCAAATAAATGCTTTTTAAACATTTTTTAAATGTTTATTTTTGAGAGAGAGACACACACATACCATGTTAGCATGGAGGGGCAGAGAGAGGGAGACACAGAATCCAAAGGAGGATCCAGGCTCTGAGCTGTCAGCATAGAGCCCAACGTGGGGCTCGAACTCACAAAACACAAGACCATGACCTGAGCCGAAGTCAGATGCTTAACCAATAGAGCCACCCAGGCACTCTGCATAAGTGGTTTTTAAATGTTAGTATGACTCTGATCTAGAAATGTCGAGCAGGAAACTGATATAGAGAACTTGAGTCTTGAAAGCCAGAGACTGGGTTTGGCATGAGATTTGGATTTTAGAGTCAGGCACAGGATGATTATTGAAACTTTGTGAGTAAATGAGATTGCAAAGTGTGCAAAGAAAGGGTCCAAGGACACTTCAGGAAATAGACATTTAAGGGATGGAAGGGAAAGGAGTCAGAGAAGAATAAATATTTTAAAAAGTAAGGGAGCTAGAAATGGGTAAAATACATGGAAACTCAATGAAGAAGAGAGTTTCATAAGGGACCAGGTGATCCCTGGTATCACAGTCTCATAGAAAACAAGGAGAATGAGGACTGAGAAAAAAGATACTGGTTATGGAGATAGATAGTCACTGATTTCTAGGAAAGGGGTTGCTTTGGTCTTATCATCCTACCTGGGTTTTGAAGGAGGGGTTACGTTTGAGAGACAGAAATGATAGAAGGAGATGATGCTTCGTGATGCCAGACCTTTCAGAAACTTACAGCTCAGCTGATAAGCCCTTCCTAGCTTTCTTCTCTCCTCACTTCCATGAGGTATCTTTGGTGGCTCCCCTTATGTGGGACCTCCTATGCTAATCAAACTTTGACTATTGGATTCTTAAGGTTTAATTCTGGGTCTTTCTCTCTTTTAAAAAATTCTATTCTTCTCTCACTTTCCTTTCTCTTCTATCCCGTTTATTTCTGTCTGTTCCCAGGTGATCTTAAGTGTTCTCATGGATTTAAATTTTTATGGTGAACACACCAATTTATACCTTCAGGCAAGATTCTTTTGGGCTCTAGATTCACATATGTACAGTTGATATTTCAATTTGGATGACACACAGTCATTTGAACTTCACATGTTTATAACAGAGCACTTATCGCCCCCAAAGCTGTAACTCCCCCAAATGTATCCCTTCCCATCCTAATCAAGGGCACCACCATCCACCCAGTTGCTCATGTCAGAAGTCTCAGTTGTCCTCATTCCTTGTTTGCCTCACTCCTCTCCCTGAATCTATCAAGTCCCATGGATCCTATTACCCAAAGATACTGCAAATTCATCCCTTGTGCACTGTCTTCCCTGCCACCATGATAGGCCAGGCTTCTGCAGCAATGTCTTAATTGCTATCTCTGCTTTTGCTTTTGATTTCCTCCAGTTCCTTCTCCCAAACCTGTGAGGGAAATTATTTTGTTACTTCCTTTTAAAAATCCTTCAATGGCTATTCACTGAATCCAGAATAAATCCTAAGCTCCTAACTATGGGCCTACCTGATCTAGTCTCCACCTGCCTCTCCAAGATGATTCCGGTTTCACCCTTGCTCACTATACTTTATTCACAATGTCCTTTCAACTCCTCAAACAGGCCAGGCTATTTCTGCCACAGTTCCTTTGCATATCTTGTTTCCTCAGCCAGAATTGTTTTTCTCCCCACCCTTCCCAGGGTTTCTTCTCATTCTTCAAGTCTTATCCAAAATACTCCATTGTCAGAGAGATCTCCCGTACCCACTCTGTCTACAATGGGGCCTCCAGTCACTTTCTATTGCAGCCCCTTGCTTCTTAATATCACTTACCATAAGTGGTAGATTTCTGTATGTTTCTTTGGGGAGGGATCTCTATTTCCTTTACCAGAAGGGAAACTGTGTCTTTACTCTGTTATCTCTCTAACATCTAGCATGAGTAAATTAAGTAAATTATGTAAATATTGAATCCTTTCAAGAACACTGGCAACAAATAGAGTGAGAAAAATAGGGCAAGAGCTCCCAGAAACCTCTGACTTGAAGGCAGGCTTTCTAGGATGTATTTATGCATGTCTGAAGAAAGAATGAGGCTGACAGGGGGGAAGACTGGTAGCTTTATACAGGGTAAGGCAACCGTGGAGGAAGGAACATGGGATCAAGGGTACAGTTGGAATGGTTAGCCTTGGCAGTATGGAAAAACACCTCTTGCCCCATGGGGAAAAGATGGGGACACAGTGTGAATGAAGAGCAGCACTGAGGATGCTTGAGATGGTCATCTTCAATTCCAGTAAAAGAGAGGGTGGGATCAGCCATGGGGAGCAAAAGGCTTAGAGCAGGGAAAAGGCTTGGGGCTGTGACAGCGTGAGAGGGTGTCAAGGACAGATCAATAAGTGGTCTACAGAGTGGGGGAGGCTCATCCAAGGTTGGAGAGAGGGAGTTTGTAGTAGAACCTAGTAGTCAAGTTAATCACACATCACCAGCGTTATCAGTGGTGGGGCTCTCAAAAGAATTACTTGAGATTGCAGAAAAAATATTCAATTTTAACATTTAAAAAAAGTTTATTTATTTATTTTGAGAGAGATGGAGACAGCGTGAGTGGGGAAGGGGAAGCAAGAGAGGGAGACAAAGAATCCCAAGCAGGCTCTGTGCTGACAGTGCAGAGCCGGATGTGGGGCTCTGACTCACGAAACCCCGAGATCATCACCTGAGCTGAAACCAAGAGTTGACTGAGCCACCCAGGCACCCCTTGCCTCAATTTTATTATAGGTTCCTAATCTTAAAATACCTGGGAAAGATTTTAATCTATAAATTTTCTGCAAAGTAGCTTAATCCTTTTACAGCAGTTTAATAATAATAAATTAAAGGAGATATTTCATGGTTTGGTCACAGCAATAATGGTAAACTTTACATTCTAATAATACAGTAGTCCCCCTTATCCACAAGGGATGTATTGTAAGACCCCCAATGGATGCTTGAAGCCACACTTAGTACTGAACCCTATATATGCTGTTTTTTCCTATACACATATATATCTATGATAAAGTTTAATATGTAAATTAGGTACAGTAAGAGATTAACAACAATAAGAAGAAGAACAGTTATAACAACATACTGAAAGTTATGTGAATGTGGTGGTCTCTCTTGAAATATCCTCACCCTTCTTGTGATGATGTAAGATGATAAAATGCCTACGTGATAAGATGAGGTGAGGTGAATGAGGTAGGTATTGTGAAGTAGTATTAGGCTACTACTGACCTCTGACCAAACACAGAAGGAGGACCATCTACTTCCCAAGGGCAGATTGACTGCAGGTAACTGAAACAGCGGAAAGAGAAACCAGGGATAAGGGGGAACTACCCTGCATTTAAGTTATTCTCATTGACTCATCCTTCAGAGAGCGTTTTTTTTGTTTGTTTTGTTTTGTTTTGTTTTTTTAAATCGCTGCCTCTAACTCTGAAGAATGAGACACGGCAAAGTAATGATGTACTCAGTATTTCATTGTGAGTAGAGAAGAATGCCTGTTCTATCTCGTTCTGGATTTATAATTGTCCTCCCTCTTACATGTGTCCTTTTTCAGGGAGAAAAGAATGCTTCAACTCTGGGAGCTGCCCCCTGGAGCCCCCTGGGGATGGCAAAGACTCTGCTCACCTCTCTGCACTCCGGTTCAGGCTTCCAGACCACCCACCTTCTCTCTGCACTTGGTGCAGGCTTCCGATGACCATGTTCCACTGCCTGCAGGTGGCTGGAAAGACGGCAGCCAAGCTCAGGTGCGACAACTTCCTCCACTCCAATTTCAAAGTCTC